GGTTCTACCTTCCTGTATCAGCCACGCGCGTTCGTCCACCATCATCAGGATACTCGCAGTCGATTCTGGCACATCCACGGCCTCGTATCCCCTCGAAAGGGATCCTTCTTCGTTTCCTGAACGGAATTGAGGTTTCGCCGGTGAATGGACCGCGGCGTATACGTAAATTGCATTGTCGCAATGCCGGGAACGTAACTGGGAACAGCTCCGGCGAAGGGCTGACCGGCCAATTAGCTTCTGTAGGCCCCTCGATAGAATTGCACAGCAACTTGACTCGACGATCCACGCGCAGTTAGGGCTACTGCCTTGGCAAGTACCACTCCAAGTCCAGAACCGGCTAGACTCAATTTAACCGTTCTCGCTCGAATATCGAATCGTTCTCGACGCTTCGACGGTCGGTGTGGCGGGTGGGAGTGGGGAGGGCGAGCAAGGTGAAGGTGGGGAGGATGGAACACGCTGGTCTGGCCGTGTCCGTCGTCCCTTTGCGGCCGTTCGCAATCCAATTTCCGCGCGGAGAACTTTCAGCTTCCTCTGGCGCGTTTCGCGCACCGCGCCGTTCTTTTTGCGCGCGTGAACGCCAATTTCACGGAGTCCAGTCCCGAGTAAAATGGGGAAATTCGTTTCTTCTGGGGAAACTGCTGGCTGTGATCGGATATCGGCGATTCTGGACGATGAAGGAAGTGGTTTATTAGCGCTGACATTAGCGCTGAATGGAGAAGCACGAATCGGTGGATTTTGTGAATTTGGTATATGAATGTGTAAATAGCTGTTGATATGTACTGTAGATTTTGTTTAGGAATATTTCTCTGGTTTTTAATCTGTCGTGATGATGAGGGATTTTTAATACGATTCGTAATATGATTGACAAATAATGAAAAGAATTATATTCTTTGCTTTCTGAGATAGAATGTACGTGTTATGTATGTAGATCGAGTATGTGTACTAGGTACCATTGTGAGGAGATGGAATATTTTCTAGATTCTGAATTTACTCGAAATGAACTATATTTCAAATATAGTAAGATTGGAAACTACATATATGTGAAGACAGCGTCATCTCTGAAGAAATTTTTGTACTACGATTGCTCCCTTGATAAGAAAACTGTAAGATAAGTTAAGAATCGTATTTGTGGTATTACCAACTGGGTCACATATGTTTCTTTACCATAGAAAAAAATGAGAAATGATGAAAATAATTATCATGAATGAGTCTGTTATAATTCTACCGTATTATGGAACTTTGCGTCATGAAACTATGACATTTGGAAAAAGATGAAACGTTGATTATAGAAACGGAATAAGATTACCACCTTGAAAAACTCAGTGCATCGTGTTCTGAAATACCGACCGGACGAAAAAACAAAGATTTTAAACAATTACAGGAATCGTTGTACTACCGAAACGTAAATATAATTATAATTATATAAAAAAAGTAATAAATTATTAAATTTAATGTTAACAACAAATTGTTCGCCACATAAATTTATGACAGAAATAAAAAAAATTAATTAATTATCGTCTGTTATATTGGAAAAAGTAATAATTAATGAAATCGTTAACGATCGGCAGTTTTCGGCCGATTTCGGCAGTCGAACGCAGGTTATATAAAGGCCGCGGCTCCAGTCATCGAGTCATTTGTCAGTTCGAATGCGAAAGTGATACGTCTAAATGTTTTACCAGGGTGGATAGGTAGGTGGTGGGATTCGGTGGTCATTTTGACCATTGGCTAACCAATAATCACTATGTCCACTCCACCCACATACCATCCTCTTAAATAATTTAATAATAATTTGAACAGCAAAAACCAAACGCATATCAAGGTCTATTTTTTTTTCTATTTTTTTTTGAGCCTATAGTGTCCCTATCCCTTGTCGTCGATAAAAAAGGCCAGGACTACTACCTGACCATAAGTAGGTAAAACAGAACACCGACCGATAAAACAGTGAATACCATTGCTAAGTGTGCGCAAAGTTTACACTATTATCGACAGTGAAAAGAAACCAACTTTAAATAAGAACCAAGAACTTTGCTTCATACCTACGAAAAAATATCGACCATTCTCTATACAAGAGAGAAAAAGTAAATATTGAATTAACAGCCCGTACGATTGAATTAAAGTGTGTCATATATCCTGAAATGATTGTCAGTAGCAAAAGCCTGAAATTATAGAACCAAAATGAAAACAAAGCGCCATGATTTTCAAGCGATTCATGTATAACATCACATTGATACTTTACTAAATCACATTAAAACACTAGTCAAGAAACAGAAGCCTGAATAAATGTCTCGTTTCATTTGATGTCAAACACATTAATACCAAAAAAAAAAAAAAAGAATTTCTATTATATTACTCAAATTAATAGTCTGTAATTTTTAAACGTCATTCACATTGTACAATTTTTCCATTTTCAGGGAACAGAATTTAATGAACCTTCTGTGAAATATACGTTTAATCAACCAGAATGAAATCAGGCTAAAGAATGGCTGCTAATTAAGCAGTATCGAATAATCGTAATATCGTTGAGCCATTGGAACAGCTCTTAATTTTACCTTTCATTATTTCACGTTCACGAAATTTCACTGGATTTCAATTGCAAAGAACGTAATTTTGTCGCGATTAAATGCTAGTTAAAATGTATGCATCCGCGCGTTCAGCATTACTCTCGAAAGAGCACTACGGTACTTTTATTGCTTTTCAACGACGGATATCGAGTTTCTCATTAATGTCTCGATGAGAAAGCGTCAAAATTAAAAAATGCAAGAAACATAAAGAGATTGATCCAAATACTCTACGCGTGACAGAACACGAAAAGCTCGATTAAAAACCTTATTAACGAAGCCATCTTTTATTTTACGAATACCCTTTCTTCGACGACATATTTTTATTCGACAGATTTTAAAAATTGTATTTTCTTTATAAAATACGTGAACCACTTTATATAGGAAGCTTTGCAATAAGAATTTGCACCTAATAACGTTCAAAATTAACATTCAAATTCCCTCCAAAAATTTATTTAGTCGATCCTTATAAATTTCGTTTCCGAACGATTTCTCTATCACTGGTATAAATCAAAGAATATTATTGAAACATCTATTTAATGATTTACTATGGAAAACAAAAATATTCATAGCATATACAGCACCACACATATTCAAATATAAAAAAATAAATGAATAGAAAAATGTTTACCTTTAATACATTTGTTTCTTTCTTTCAAACTTGTCACACACAAAGCAGCCATATTCATAAAATAGTTCTCCATTCTCTCACCAGTTGTTACATACTTCGGAATAGATGCCATACTTCCCGCCAATTTTTTCCATATCCGCCATTGGTACGATTCTTATATTATCGACTAAGACGTTTCGTATATATCGCGAGAGTCAGTCGTTGTGGAAAAGATGAGTCGCTTAAACGATTCTTCATCTCCGGATTGGATTACGTTGCATCTCTTTGTTGAAAGGAAACGATCCGATGGTGAATTTCCGGCGGTTCGTTTCCGCCTTCCCTCAACGTTTAGTCATGGAATACACTACCTATTGCGCTCTAGTTACTGCGTTGTAATAGTGAATCTCTCAGGCCGTCATTATAACCACTTTGGAATGTTGCAACTATTACGATAATACGCTTGAAATCTCCGCGCTTAGGATTTCGGCTCGTGATCACTATAGTTCAACACGTAAAATCTCACGAATATGGCCGAATATATCGAATCAATGTTACCACGTACATTTCATAAAGCTTACCACGTAATCACGTTATATCGTTTTCTTTAGCGGAACAAACATTTGGATTGTTCCGGCGTAACGCAAATTGAAACATATCGTCGAAAGTTTCACATGAACCAATTGTATAACGAAACAATATCACCACACAGATTTTACAGAACGTAAGGTGCGACTGATTCGTGACGTTTGCATTAGCACAACGAGCGAAGTTTCAATTGACACGGCTCAATATAACCTAACAAATATCAGGCAAGTTGCAATAACACCAATGTAGATGTGAACGAGCTTCACGAATAGTGGACGTGAATGAACTTCTCGCGCGTTGGGTGTGAAAGACGAATGTTTGGAATAGCACGGAAGAGATCGAGTGGCTGTTTGGGGTTCAGCTTCGGTTTCAAGTGAAACACGTACCCAAGTGAATCCTCGGAATGCACTACCGAACGGTTTTAAACGCAAGGAGATTCGCTAGTTACGACTGCGCGGGGTTATCGGGAACACTGTGGGATCGAAGATTGGATCGATCGATAAGTTAGAGTTCGACAATTGGCGAATGAAGAACGAGACGTAAAAGACAAACAAAGGGTAAAGAATAAAAGTTGAGAGTGAGAAAATGAATCGGTGACAAAGTCAAAGTTCGCGGAGGATATTCCGAAGAAATAAAATAACATTGAACGAGAAATTCTTGTTTTATTTTAGTACAGTTGAATCTGATTTTAGATTTGTTAAAAATAAAAATTATCTGTTGACTTTGCGACATTTCTAAGTTACCAGCAGTTGTACGAAATTTGCCAAAACTGAATGCACTTCTAATCAATGTTTTTAACTTTATCGATCGCTGCTACAAGCAAGATTAATTAATCCATAATTTCTGTTAGTGACAATTAAATTAGGTTAGGATGCTAAATTTCGTACATGCCTCAGATTAAACTAGCTTTTTAGATAAAGATTCCAATTGTATTAAGCAACGAGTGTTTTACTACACTACTCGAAATAACCACATTGTATCTATTAGTAAAAGAAATAAAGATTTAAGATACTACTCTGCAATGTGCTTCAATATGAAATATGAGTTTTATTCAGCTAAAAATTGGTTCCCCAATTTTAATTATGCGTGCTATAATTAAAGGCAATCTATTTAAAATCAGACAGCATATGTTGCTCACCTAACAATTGTAATATGCTAAAAATCATTGATTTTCAATAATATTTATTCACAGGGAAACTGGCACCAAGCTTTACTCGAATTGAAAATGTAATAAATTCCCACGTTCACCAGTCAAACAATAAACTGTTACGTTCGTACGTGCCATTGTATAAATCCATTTGCAAGTCAGAGACGTTAATACCATGGCATTGTATTTGAACGTAATATTTAATAAAACACGTAGAAGTGAACTAAAACAAAAGTATAAACACAATGATGGCAAATTAAAATTTGTTCATACGAAAAATTGGAAAATCTGTACGATAATAAGTATGTAAATCAGTTGCTAAGATAAACAGCAATCCCCTCTATTAGTTATTTCCAACACTAAGATTTTTTAAACAGAATACCAACAATTAAACTTTTAAATAGGAATCAAATGTTTTATGAATAATATAATTGGAATCATATAATCATTAATCTTTTAACTAAGAAGACTATAATAATCTATTCCCAATGCCTATAACAATTGATGTGAGTATTAAGCAAATGATTCTATTAAAGGCTCTGCATTTTAATTTTTAAATAATACTGCAATGAGTAAATTTAAATACAATCGATATATTTTGCATAAAAAATTAAAAATTAATCAGTTGAAGCTACGAGTGCATATTTTTGTGTATGACTAAATTATTTTCAGTATTATTTACAAACTTTATTGCAAAAAAAATAACTGAAGATAACTGACAGTGAGTCGAGACTGACGTCTTGAAAGCTTCAAATGATAGAGAACATTGCATACCGTATCATAAATTTTCATTGCAATAATTATTTATAAAGTTATCGAAGTAGCTCCAGGTACGTGCTTCATTCT